GTGATACATCCCATAAACAAAATGAAAGGTAAAAAAATATGATCATATCGATAGATGCAAAAAAAGCATTTGATAAAATCCATCATCCATTTCTGACAAAAACTCTCATCAAAGTGGGAGTAGAGGAATCATACCTCAACATAATGACAGCCATGTTTGGAAAACTTACAGCCTACATCATACTCAATGTACGAAAATTAAAAGTGTTTCCCTTAAGATCAAGAAACTGCACTGTTGGTGGGAATGCAGACTGCTTCAGCCACTTTGGAAAAGAGTATACAGTTTCCTCAAATTTTTAAAAATGGAACTCCTTTTTGACACAGTGGCACCACTTTTGGGATATATTCTAAGAATCCTGAAACACTAATACAAAATAATGTATGCACCCCTTTGTTCATAGCAGCATTATTTATAATTGCCAAGATCTGGAAACATCCTAAGTGACCATTAGTAGATGAATGGATAAAAAAGTATGGTACATTTACACAATGGACTACTATACATTAGTAAAAAAGAGAAAGAATTCTTTCCTTTTTTGGGAGCATGAATGGACCTGGAGACTATTATGCTAAGTAAAACAAACCAGGAAGTAAAAGACAAATAGCACATGGTCCACATATATGGAATCAAATGAACAAAATTAGCTAACAAACAAAATATAAACAGAAGCATAGATACATGGAACAGAATGACAGCTGACCAAAGGGTGGGGTATCACAAGGAAAGAAGGTGACAGGATTAGCCAAAGAACATAGACACATGACCCATGCACACAGAAAACAGTATGGGGATTACCTGAGGGAAGGGGATGCTGGGTGGAGGTTGGCAAAGTGGAAAATAGTGTGGACAACTGTAATAGGTTACAATACAATACAGTAAAATAAATACGATTAAAAAAGATGTCGGAACAATGTCCGTGGAATTTTAAGGACAAACTATAGTGAATAAGTATAGTTTCCCAGCCAATTTATTACATATGTGAAGGCAACAACGAGTCTAGAAAATATTCATGTTTTAAAAAAAATGAGTAAAATGGTATAATGACTCTGGAAAACAGTTTCTTATAAAACTAAACATGTAATTACCATATCATATAACAACTGCATACTTGGAATTTTTCCCAGAGAAATGAAGATTTATGTTCACATAAAACCTGTACATGAATATTCCTAAAAATTTGTAATAATCCTATACTGGTAACACCCAGCTGCCTTTCAAAGATGAATGGTTCAACTGTAGTACATCTATCCCATGGAACTCTACTTGGCAACAAAAAGGAAAAAAATGGCAATGTACGCAGTTACTTGGATGAGTCTTTAGAGAATTAGACTACGTGAAAAAAATCTTTAAAGTAACATACTTTATGATTTAATTTATATAGCATTCTTGGTATAAAAAAGAAAGAAAATGGAGAACAGGTTAGTTGTTTCCAGGGGTTAGGGACTGCATAAGGGTGAAGGGCTAATAAAGGGAGGTGGATATGTTTATAAAGGACAGTATGAAGGTACCTTGTGGTGATGGAACTATCCTGTCTTGACTGTGATGGTAGAACTTACACATGTGATAAAATTATATAAACTTATTTATTTAAATATATTTTATTGACTGTGTTATTACAGTTTTCCCATCATTTTCTTCCCTTTATTCCCCTCTGCCCTGTACACCCCCTCCCACCATTATTCCCCCACTTTATAGTTCATGTTCATGTGTCATAAAGGTAAGTTCTTTGTCTATTTCATTTCCCATACTAGTCTTAACCTCCCCCTGGCTATTTTGTACCTATCATTTATGCTTCCTATTCCCTGTATCTTTCCCCCCATTCTCTCTCCTACACCTCCCCACTGATAATCGTTCGAGTGATTTCTATTTTTCTGAATCTGTTCCTATTCTAGTTGTTTGCTTAGTTTGTTTTTGTTTTTGCTTTTGTTTTGCTAGGTTCAGTTGTTGACAGTTGTCAGTTTGTTGTCATTTTACTGTTCATAGTTTTGATCTTCCTTAATTTCTTAGATAAGTCCCTTTAACATTTCATATAATAAGGACTTGGTGATGATGAACTCCTTTAACTTGACCTTATCTGAGAAGCACTTTATCTATCCTCACATTCCAAATGATAGTGTTGCTAGATAGGGTAACCTTGAATGTAGGTCCTTGCCTTTCATGACTCTGAATACTGCTTTCCAGCCTATTCTTGACTGAGAAGTTTCTTTTGAGAAATCAGCTGATAGTCATATGGAAACTCCTTTCTAGGCAATTCTCTTCTTTTCTCTTGCTGCTTTTAAGATTCTCTCCTTATCTTTAATCTTGGGTACTGTAATTATGATGTGTCTTGGCATGTGCTTCTTTGGGTCCAACTTTTTTGGGCTCTCTGGGCTTCCTGGACTTCCTGGAAGTCTATTTCCTTTGCCAGATTGGGGAAGTTCTCCTTTATTATATCTTTAGATAAGTTTTCCATTCCCTACTCTTCCTCTTCTCCTTCTGGCACCTCTATGATTTCAGATGTTGGAATGTTTAAAATTGTCCTGGAGGTTCCTAAGCCTCTCCTAATTTTTTTGAATTCATGTTTCTTCATTTTGTTCTGGTTGGATGTTTATTTTTTCCTTCTGTCCAAACCATTGATTTGCATCCCAGTTTTCCTCCCTTCACTTTGGTTCCCTGTACATTTTCCTTTATTTCACTTTGCATAGCCTTCACTTTTTCCTTTATTTAGCAACCATACTCCACCATTTCTGTGAGCATCCTGAATACCACTATTTTAAACTTTGCATCGGATAGATCTCTGGATCTTTGAGCTGTTCTTCTATTTGGGCCATATTTTTCTTGTCTCTGGTTGCCTGCTACATAGTAAGGGGCAGAACCTTAAGTATTCACCAGGGCAGGGCAACCAAGGTTGCTGTTTTGGTGCTGTCTGTAGGGTAAGGGGTTTGAGAGAAAACAGTGCTGCTTGCTCAGCTCTGCTGGTTTTCAGTCACTTCCTCTGCTTCCCACAAGCAAATTGGGCCCTTCTGGTGTTGATTACTGTGTGGGTGGTTTTGTGTACATTCGAGGACCCTGTAGGTCTCTCCAATGAACTGTCCTGTGAGACTTGGAATTTCTCCCACTGCCTCAACCCCCACAGGATTTTTCAGTCAGAGGTGTTTTTTGTTTGTTTGTTTTGTTTTTATTTATTTATCTTTAGAGGGGAAGGAAAGGAGAGAGGGAGAGAAATATCAATGTATGGTTGCCTCTCATGCGTCCCCTGCTGGGAACTGGCCTGCAATCCAGGCATATGCCCTGGCTGAAAATCAAACCACAATCCTTTGGTTCCCGGGCCTGTGCTCAATCCACTGAGCTACACCAGCCAGGACTTTTTTTTTAAAGATTTTATTTACTTTTAAAGAGAGGGAAAGGGAGTGAGAGAAACATCAATGTGTGGTTGATTCTCACAGTCCCCCATCCGGGACCTGAACTGCAACCCAGGCATGTGCCCTGACTGGGAATGGAACCAGGGATTCTTGGGTTTGCAGGCTGGTGCTCGATCCACTGAGCTATACCAGCTGGGCACCAGTCAGAGGTTTTGAGGCTTTATTTCCCTGTGTTTGGAACCCTGGGTTGCATGGTCTGCCTCGCTTTCCAGCTCCTCTTGGTTATCCCCACACAAGTGTGGGATGGCCCCTTCCACCCTCTGCTGCCAGTCAGCCAGCCACTACCTTGCCCACCCTGGTCCTCTCTGCCCTGGCTTCCCATTTCTGCACCTTCTACAGGTCTGGGTAAATATTTCTTCTTTAACTCCTTGGTTGTTGGACTTCCATACAGTTCAATTTTCTGTCAGTTCTGGTTACTTTTTGTTTTTAATATTATTGTTGTCCTCTGTTTGGCTGTGTGAGGAGGCAAATTGTATCTACCTATGCCTCTATTTTGGCTAGAAGTAAATTATATAAATTTAAACACACATGCAAACACAAATAAGTGAATACAAGTAAAACTGTGGGAATCTGAATAAGGTCTGTGGATTGTGTCAATGTCAATATCCTGATTGTGTTATGTGCTAGCATTATTAAATAGTGAAGAAAACTGAGTAAAATGAATTTGGAATCTCTCTGCATTATTTCTTACATCTGCATGTAAATCTACACTTACTTCAACTAAAATTTCAATGAAAAAAATCTTTTGGGAGGTAGGCTTTCTGATAGGCAGCATTTAGTGGAGAATTATCATGCTGAGGGGGAGTTTCAGGTAATTGGAAAGAATAACGTGGAACATTTTGTAGTAGGGCTTGGAAGCATGTCTAGGGGTGGGACTCGCAGGAAACCTGGGTGACAGGGTGGGGTCAGAGAAGCTGGAAGGTGGGACTTCCAAGAAGGGGGCCTCAGTGGGTGGGATTTATAAATGACCCAGAAGCAGGGTCCTGGGATGGCAGAGGGGTTCCCTGGTGAAGGAATGGGTCACCTCAGGAGGAAAACAGTCTCAACCTACTGGGGCCTCATGGAGTCTCTGCCCTGTACTACAGGCTGATTTGGCTCTAGATCAAGCCACTGCCTTTTTGGGTCACTGCTCCAACTTTCTCCTTGGGCAAGCTTCCCTGGAGGAACTTTACTGCACTCACTTCCTGCCTTGCTAACCCCTGACCCTCTACCTCACCGTCCCTTCTTCACCCAGCCCACTTTCTGGAGTCAGCCAATGGCAGTGTGATAACTTGTGCTAGCCAGGAAGAGGCCTATTTTTTACTTAAGATCATTCTTTTTTAAAAAAATTTTATTTAATTATTGTCCAAGTACAGTTTTCTGTTTTTTACTCCCATCCCAGCCCACCACCCCCAGTGCTCCCCATCTCCCTCCCAATTCCACCCCCCTGAGTTGTTGTCCATGTGTCCTTTATACTAGTTCCTGTAAATCAAGATCATTCTTGAGAAACATAAGAAGTGCACTCCAATAAGGACTTGAAGAGAAACAAATCTAAACCAATAGGTGACTTGAAGGTGGAGTTGTCCTACTGTAGGCAAAAAGAGCCAATAGAAATCACAGATGGCAAGTTTGAAAGTGAGGCCAAAGAGGGTGGGAGCGTGTGCTGCTGGTTTTTTGGAGGTTGGCTGCTCGGGGCTGATGGTATTGAGGCGGAGTGGTCCTGTCACACAAATTTACTATTCAGACAAATATGACGATGTGGAGTTCAAGTACCAGCATGTCATGTTGCCCAAGGACATAGCCAAGCTGATCCCTAAAACCCATTTGATGTCTGAATCTGAATGGAGGAATCTCAGTGTTCAGCAGAATCAGGGGTGGGTCCATTATATGATCCATGAACCAGAGCCTCACATCTTGCTGTTTTGGGGGCCAATGCCCAAGAAGCCCAAAAAATGAAGCTGAGGAACCACCTTTCAGCCTCAAGCTTTACACAGCTGTCCTCACTTGCTGACATCTTTTTGATAACATTATGTTGCCTTCTTGTTTCTCACTTTGATGTTTAAAGGATATGTAAAATACACTGTGTGGTGTGCTGGTGACTGCTTTGCTTCTTGAGCAGAGCCTACAGCACCAGGACCCAGCCAGAGGAGTACTCTTTGAGCTGCGGCCTCTGCTGAGCATGACCCCAGAAATATGGTGAGCTTTGTATCCAGCAAAACACATTTGGCAGAAGGAGGAAGCATCTGATAATAAGACCATGACTGTTACAGGGATTGTGTAATATTGCTGTTTTAAAGAGGACGTTTTTATATAAAAAATAAAATTTCAATAAAAATTCAAGTAATTTTATTTCATTTTGTTCATTTACTGAAAGTTTAATCAAGTTAAGATCTCAAGGATGGCAGTTTGGCAAAAACATATATTATAGAATCTAATCCTAATGTCAAAAATAATTTTTGAAAAGAACTGTGAAAAGTAAAAAAATTAATAACAATAATCTGGTTAGAAAAGCTCATTTTATATTAGCAAAGGATGAGAGGTGAAGGAAATAAAACTGGAGTAAGTTTTTTTTTTGCCCCTAGCAATGTGGCATCAAAAATACCTTATTATTTTCTAAAACAATTTTAATTGAGATATAATTGATGTGTAACATCATATTAGCTTTAGGTGTTTTTTTAAATTTTATTTAGTTATTTTTCAAGTACAGTTTTTTGTCTATTTCTCCCATCCCAGACTCCCTCGCCCCTTGCTCCCCCCCTCCCATTTCTACCCTCCTTAGTTCTTATCCCTGTGTCCTTCCTATTTGTTCCTCCAAATCCCTCCCCTTTTTTCCCCTTAACTTCCCTTCCCTCTCCCCTCTGGTCACTGTCCCCTTGTTCTCTATTTCAGTGTCTTTGTTTTTTTTTTTTCTGTTTGCTTGTTTGTTTTGTTGTTTAGCTTCCTGTTAAAGGTGAGATCATATGGTATTTGTCTTTCAACACCTGGCCTATTTCACTCAGCATAATGCTTTCCAGTTCCATCCATGTTGTTGCAAAGGGTAGTAGCTCCTTCTTTCTCTCTGCTGCATAGAATTCCATTGTGTATATGTACCACAATTTTTTGATCCATTCATTTACTGATGGGCACCTAGGATGCCTCCAACTCTTGGCTATTGTAAATTGTGCTACTGTGAACATTGTGGTGCATAGGTTCTTTACACAAATTCCCCAAGCCAGATAAAAATTTCCTAGATTAGGTTAAAGACACAAATGAATTATTTGCTGCTTCTAAAAGACATATGTTTTAAAATGTAATAATAGAAAGTTTAAAATAAAGGTTAAATAAATATTCAACAAATATAAACCAAATGAAAACACAAAGTGGTATCACAAGTTTAAGAAAAACAAGTCACGGGAGGGAGGTGGAGATGGCTGGGGTGGGGAAGGAGTGGTGAGGAGAAAGGGCAGACAACTATACTTGAACAACAATAAAAAATATAAAAAGACCAAATGCTCTAGCTCTAGTTAAGATGGGAAGATTTTTCAGTTTCATGTGAAATTATAACATTGAGTCCTATTTTTAAATTAACAGAGAAAAATTAAAAAGAAAAAAGTCGCTTTTAATATTTGCAGGACTTGCAACAAGACTACAAATAGAAGCCCATGTACCATATGTCTCAGCATTCAAAAGTTAAAAGTCAAGCCAAAACTTAAATAAATCATTTCCTACCTTGACACATAACACTGCAAAACAATCTGGAAGTCCACCATTAAAAACAGAATTCTTAGACTCCTCCCAGTTCCACAATGGAAAGTGGCAGCAAAGTGAGAGGTGGATGTGGTACTGTCCCTGGGCCTGGCCTACCTTCTTTGCTTCCCCTAAGGGTCTGGCTCCTTGGGGCCATCCAGACTGTTGGTCTCCCTACCAAATCAACACCTGCCCTGGGGTCACCCATTGGGTTTAAGGATGTGTGTCTCCTGGCAAAGATAACTTGAGAAAAAGGCTGACCAGGTTGTAATCTGCTTTTTTCCCTCTTAATAGTGTAGCAGGCAAAGTCTTCTGTAGCACTCCATGTTTTCACCAGTATTTTCATACTGCCACCTAACCTCAGATTGTTTGAAGTCCCTGCAAAGGCAGCTGTGAGAAACTGGCTTAGGATACACACTTGGAGTATAGGGAGTGAGACTTTGTTAGCTGCTTTATATATTGGACTTGTGCTTCAGATTTTGTTTAAAGTCAGGAAGAGTTCATAGCTTTTTTTTTTTTCCTTTAATTCAGTTTGAACGACTTACCTGTTCTCTGCTGTGGGTATTTAAATTGCCCCCAATTTTTCTTTATAATAAACATCTTCTGTATCTTATCTATTTGGATAATTAATATTCTTCTATTAAAACTTTTTAATTGTTATCTCCCAACCCCACAAAATTTCTTTTTTAACTTTCTGTCAGTGCAGCCTGATTTTTCTTGTATACCCCTAGATACTGCCCTCTGTTGCACCAAAATTGCTATACAATCTGTCTCTGAGTAAGTTAATGAGTTCCTTTATGAAAAGGACCTTCCTGGCTCACCAATTTTTTTTTTGATGAACGGATTATTTCTACAACTTCTTGTTCAAGGTCCACACCTTTGAAAAAGCAAGCATAAGGATTACTGGGAGAGTTTGTTAAATTAGAGATCCTGGGCTATCTGCCCAGAGAGCCTAGTAAGCCTCGCAAGGCTGCTGATGCTGTTCTTAGAGGACACACTTCCTAGAGGCACTGCAGTGACATCCTTCCAGAGAGTATTTTCTTGAGAGGATAAAATGTTATCGTAGTTGTTGGAAACGTGTGGGTCTAGTTTGGATGTTTCCTTTTACCCTCTAAAAATAATGAGCAGAAATTCTGGCTTTTAAATCCAAATTTTTAGTGAGTTTGGTTAATATGGGGGATTTTTCCTGAGTTTGGTACCCTGCAGGAAACTGACAAAATCCACTTTGCATCCCTGAGTCACTGAGGTCCAGTTCTTGGAGCATGTGGACCTCATTATGATGGCAGTGGCTCTTGTGAAGCTTGTTGAGCAGAGGGCCAGATGCCTTCTTCCTAGACCTCTCTATATTCTGTCTCATCGCTACTGCTACAAATTAAATATCTTTTTATTTGTAGTCACTTCTAAAACTGATTACAGATTTATGCCTGTTAGCATGTATGTTTGGAAGCAGGAGGCTATCCTTTAACAATTGGCACTAGGGGAACTGGCTGAAAAAGATGGAAATATATTAACACCTGCTTTGACAACAAAGAAACTTGGAAATGCAGAGATTTCTCATGGATGTAGGGGATACAGGTAAGAGTTATGTACTTCCTGGATGGTAAATTATAGCCAACATGTGAGGTAGGGGTGATATAAAAAGAGAAAATAATTCTGAGGGAGAGGCTAATTATCCCAGAGCTGGTTTGTAATAAATGGCTGATTGTAGCTGGGGAATTACCTTTTTATTTTTATTCATTTAATGGTACTACAGTGAAAGACTACTGGGTACCTTGGCTTTAATCCAGGACAATGTTACTTAATAATACTAGGTGCTCAATTCTCACCTGGTTGAGATTTGCAGGGTGGGAAGTTGGTTCACTAATGCCCGTTTATATGTGTTTAGTATATTCCATCTTCAATTACTTCACATTTTATTTATATTTTGGAGTGTGTGTATGTGTTTAGGGAGTTGGTGGAGGGTAGTAGTAGGAAATGTTTCTGCTTTAGAACTGGGGCAAAAGGAGCCTCAGAGGAGGTGCATTTTGCTGAAGTCCACACCAATGGCTTTTAGTAGCTGCTCTTTGCAGCCTACAGAGGTGTAGATGTGCAGTGGTTGGCAATGCTTTTATACTTCTGTCATTGGGAATGATTCATTTAAATACAATATGAGTACATGGTTTACATTTGCTCACAGAGTTAAAATAAATACAAACAACAAATACAAGCTTTTACTAGTAAGAATAATTATATTCTTCTTAAATGGTTTGGGTCAAAGTCATTCTTAAAATTGTCATGTATACTTCTATAAGTTCTTCTAGGAAATTCAGTGAACCTAAAATCAAGGGAAACATTTCAAATTTTCTGCCACAATAAGAAAATACTGTATAATGGAGATTCGAAGCTAACATAAATTCCAAGACTTGAAGTCAATACTATATTGTTTCAGCAACCTGCCAGAAGCAGACCTGTGTATCCTCAACTCACCCTCCCTCCTGGCTCTCCTTTTTGGATATTTATTACCTCTCATGGAGGCATTTTTCTTTAGGTGTTGCTGGGATAGGATAACAAGTAAAAACAGGTCAGCTCCTTTCTCCCTCAGTAGCTTCTTGTGGGGGTCTCTGGTGAGTAGGGCAAAGATTCAGAAGGGATCCTCAGGAGATATCATCCAAAGACAGCTCTGCTCTACGTCTTGATGCAGCATTGCCTATTCTATAAGATAGGGTAACGTCAACTATTAGAGTTTGGGAAGATGAGAAACTTTTCAGTAATAATTTATTTATATTTTATTGTTGTTCAAGTACAGTTGTCTCAATTATGCCCCCTATCACTGCCCCCTCCCCACCAATTCCCCACTTCTACCCTTGATCCTACCACCCTTTCACTGTCATGTGTCATTTATACATGTATGTTTGGAAGTTATGTTTGACAAGTCCTTTCCTTCTTTCCCATGTTTTCCCCTTCCTCCTCCCCTATGGTTACTGACAGTTTGTTCTTTATTTCAGTTTATCTGGTTATATTTTACTTGCAAATTTGTTTTATTGATTAGGTTCCACTTATAGGTGAGATCATATGGTATTCGATGTCATATGGTGAGAGCATAATTCTCTCCAGATCCATCCATATTGTCAGAAAGGGTAGAATTTCCTTCTTTCTGCTGTATAGTACTCCATTGTATAAATGTGCCACAGTTTTTTGATCCACTTGTTTACTGATGGGCACTTAGGTTGCTTCTAACACTTGGCTATTGT